CCCCCCCAACGAATCCGCAAGCAAACGGAGACAGCTGTTTCGGACAGTGGGTCGTGAGGCAAAGCCCCACGACCGAAGACAGATTTCGACATACATGGATCTAGATTAAAATCATATCTGGCCTCGAAAACAATTTATTTCTTGAAACGTTAGACTCTACGTTAATGGTATAACGAAGTATTAGTGCGTATAAAATCGATTTATTATATTTTCTGACTTGAATTTCTTGCAATTTGTTGCGCAAACTATTATCAATTACTTAATCAAGCGTTAACTTTCGGCCAATGCAGGTCCTTTCTGAGTCGCTTGTGTCCAGGTCTCATCCCATGTCGAAATGATGGTCCTAGCTTGGCAAATCTGAAGCAATGCAATCCTTAGGAAATGACACGCGGTTTTACATTAAGTATAATAACATAAAGATAGGCTGAAATGAAATAAGGAAATATATTTTGTGCACAACCATCCATGTGTTTACTTTGTAAGAAACATTGTATGCGGCGACACGTGTGCCTTGCTAGAGACTTGATTATTTTCGATCTTTCAAAGAAACACATGAAACTAGCGGACCGACTATATGTAAGTATATGAGATATTTACATTTGATAAATATTCTATTATAGATCTGAAAAGCGATGGATTTTTCCAAATCTTCCAGATCGTAGTAGTATTAATATAAGTATACAAAAAAATATGTTGTAAATGAGCTTTTAAATTTATTTTTAACGATCCGATAGAACATTGAAGATAAATTTAGGTTATAGTAAGACATGAGAGTAAGATCAAAAGAGACTCCGTCGAAAACCTCGTGGTACAATGTAGCTTAAAAACTATTACTCGGGATCTGGATTATATGTATATGATTTGTATATGTCCAAAAGTGTATGTGATCCATATGCATATCCATATTCCATATAGTAAACATATAAATACATTTTTCACATAGATAACATTTTTCCACTTGGGTACTCTCCACTCTCTCGCTTTCTCACTGTCTCCCTCGTTCTCCTTTTCCACTTCTCCCATTCTACTACTACTACTACTACTACTACTACTTTAGAAGGAGCGTCAGTTGAAACTTGGAGTTGAATCGGTATGGTCAAGCTTCAGTCGGCCGATTCTTAGTAATGAGGTTTGTGCGCGTAACCTCGCGAGTGAAGCGAGTAAGCGACTGCGTTGTACGAAGTCGCATGAATTCCCGAATGCGGAAGCCGCGTAACCATAAGGAAGAATTCTACGTGAAGTTTATTGCCAAGAAAATTAATGAAATTAAATGCGTGGAAGAGAGAGCGTCGATGAATTTTCCAATGAAACCGTACTGACTCGATTTGTGCCGTGTGCGAGAAAAAGGAAGTAAAACATTGCCTGAAACATTCGTACCGCATCGCTCTCACAGATTATACACGGTATATACAATTAAACATATGTACATGCTGTGTTGTGCATTGTGACGCTCGGTTGGAACGGATCCTTAGGAAGCCCATTTTCCATTCGTGCCCAGCAGAGGCACGGTGGAATTCTACTTTTCGTCGGATGACGTAAATTCGTAAGCCAACAGGAAGATAGCAGTACAGGCCCATTTATAATACTAATCACATTGCAGGCCAACGCTGAGCTCGTATTTTGGCTAATGACGAACTTCACGAAAGATGACGGAATAAGAAAGAAGAGATAACGAAGAACAAGAAACGAGAAACGAGAAACGACAACAGTTCCCCATAACGTACGACGTACGACGTACGACGTACGACGTACGAGGAGACATGCAAGAAGAGTGCATCTTGCGACACGTAAGGATCTCCAATTCTGTTTCTATGGGAGCGTGCGCGAGCATTCGAAAGTAAGGGCTGCGAGGATTATTCTTAATATTTTAAACAGTGCCTGCGAGTTACGACGAATGGCACGTGTAAGCAGCGTTACGTGCGGTAACCAGCTAAGCGATAATAACTCTCTATACGGATATCACGATCATTTTATTTGCGATGAATCATCGCAAGGGTCGGTCGACTCGAAGTAATTTGCTACGAGATACGGCACTGTCGTCCGTCTCTGTCAGAGATTCCTTCGGTGACCTCAACGCGTCAGGTTAGGGCTGCCAAGATTAACGGTGCTTACGATGCCGACATCAGGGAAATTCCATTATTCTAGCCTCCTGGTCGCCAATAACCAACCGTTGCACAACGAGAGGTGCTTATCCAGCGTTCGTTCGAGACAATTGAATTACGCAATCGCGCGATTTCTCCAACGTACGAAAAAGAAAAAAGCACGCGGCAGCCCGACGCGACGGTCCCGTAACGTTGTCTACTTCATTTTATTCCCGGAACAAACAGGTCGTAGGTATCCTTCGTCGTTCGTTTCATGATTCCTTCGAGTCTGTATCTCAATGCTGACATAATGCGACTCTCACTCGTTTCTCTCGAGTAAAGAGGATTTCCGAGAGAACGAACGATATTATTATGGATCTTACTAAAACACTGACCTCTGACCTTTGACCTTTGACTTTCGTACGTGACTCGTCGCTACATTCCTATTAAATAGAACGAAAAACGCCGCGTCCACGTTTCGACTTCTCGAGTGTCGTCTGGCACCTCAGACGTCGTACACGTACTACGATGTGCATGTACGTTAACTGGAACTAACGCGTGAGACGATTCAAATGTCCGCACCGGCATTCAGTTGACAGGGGCCAGTCCTTCCTTAATTGCGAGTTTACATTTTCCTGCGCGTTTGCTCTTTCGCCAAAGTCCAGAGCGAAAGCGTGCTGCGATAGGGGGCTGCGCGCGAGAGTTGCCAAGAAAAACAAAGAATAACTACAGCAGATATATGAAATGAGCATTATCTGAAAGCCTGCAAGAGAACAGACCTATTGGACTGTCAGAGGGGGATCGCCAGTCAGAGAAGGGAGAGTCCAGGATTGCCTTGCCCAGCCAGTCGGATGACTAACCGCTGGCTGGCTGACTGACTGACTGACTAACTGACTGGCTGACTGGCTGACTGGCTGACTGGCTGACTGGCTGACTAGCTGGCTGCTTTTCCAAGAGCTTTCGATGACACCAGTTGCGCGCCTGCGCCTCCTCCACGATTCTTGGCCACCCGGTGCTCCCTGTATAGGCAGCCACCTACCTACGTCGCTCGTGGAACCTCGTGGCGCCAGTTTGAAGTATGCTTCTTTTGCGGATGCACTCTTTGGCGCGTACCTCGTCGCGTGTCTTATCGTGGCGTCATAATCGAATTCGAGTTTAATTTCGGAAATGGAGATCTAATCGGACGAATTCCGACCTTGACACGTGGTGCAATCATCGTGAGCTCTCGGCCGTACGATTGGTCGATCAACTCGCAGTCCTCTACCGTGACACATTCGTATCAACGTATAATTAAAAAAGCAAAAAGTGTCTCGGGTCCAAATATTAGTATTCTTCCATTCTTTCGTTTATCCTCGATAAGATCAAGATCGAAAATTCCGAAATTCCGAAATTCCGAAATTCCGAAATTCCGTTCAGTGAGTGAAGAGCTCATAGTTTGTTGATACCGAATGAGCCTGAAAAAGTCGAATCTCAAAGTTGTCCAATGCAAAGGCAATGTCGAAAAACCTCGTGAGGCACGTGACACTAATGAGCCACGCGTGTCTATGAATAAGATCGTCGATTGCATGTGTCGCATGCAGGTAAAGCGCGAGCCACAAGGTGCAGGCTGTCCGGGGTGGGGTGTGTGTGCATGGAACATGGATATCTACCAATCTGTAATAACGAATCCACACTGATATATGGCACCTTCATTTTTCGATTCACGGCACGTAAAGTTTCGTTGGCTGATAGCGTCACCCATGACGACAGACACTTCTATTTTCGCATATTACTTGTATTCTTTGGCCTGGAGCAAAAGACACTTTTCTCTCTTCTCACTTCTCACTTCTCACTCGACGTCAAAGCCCAACGTTACGGTTGAATTTCGGAGGTGGCTTCGCACCTTGCCAAATTTCTTTTTGCAACGGCACAGACCCTTTTAACAAATGAGATACATTTATCGCAAGTGTCGCGCAATTGATAATCCGCCGATCGCGTACTAGAGCTGTACTATTACAAGATCACAAGGTTACGAGTGGCCAGATACGGGATTCTCAATTTTGTATTATCGCGTCTGGTTAGACCGTAAGAAGCACGAGGAAGCACTCGATCGCGTCATCGGGTTTGTTTGTGTTGCTGCGCGAAACGCCGCGCTCCCTCTAACGGTAATATCGGCTTTCCGCGCTGCTCGACACTGTACACCCTCTCTGCGGAACGCCTCGTGCGTAACGCTAGACGTCTGTTCGGGTTAGATTTAAACTTAACGTACGTGCCAAATCGGTCAGTAGTTGCGCCTCCTGAAATTCGTTTTCGATCGCTGAGCAATTTCGCACTTGTGGCTTCTACAGATTTAGGAATGAAGCGACCTCTACGATGGACGCAAATAGAGTATCTTGAAATGGCGTTTTATCCATGGCTATTTTAAACGGTGACCATTACATACTCCTGATATAGCAAACACTTATCTAATTAATAGCCATTAGCCGAAGCTTCCTGATGTATTGCTCGCCAAGAAGATGGGGGTTAGCATTCATTAGAAGTCGCATGCTCTCTTTGGAGAACGGAGATGCTGCGCGCTTCACGGGTAACGTGGACCATCCTATTATCGATCAATCGAAAATCACCACACACGCATTGGAGTGATTAGAATAATTGATGCTGGATCGACCTTGTCTAGGGTTCCCATAGAGTTCCATAGGGTTCCTCCGTATGGCTCCATCAGAGATATAACGAAGATTTTCATTGTTCCTTTTTAAGTCAAAGCGATTGCACTAAGAAAGTAGTAAACGCCCGTCCCCTTCCTCTTAATCTCCAATCTCATCATCGGGTTTATCCGTATCGTTCGACGACTACAGCGTACGGCACTCCGATTCTATTAGCTCGTCTTGGCACAGATCCCAACATAGAGAGCTACGTAGGGCTGGCTCGACATAGTCTTTCCCGTACTTTCCAATCGTATGTGCCTCTCCTCTCTTGTTCCGACCACACCGTTTCTCTTCTTCTTCTTTTTTCTATAATATTCAAAATCCTTAAGCTTATGGAATTTCTTTTCTGAGAATGCTATCTCGATTTCAGTGCTGCCGGTGGTGTCGTTGCTGATGACAGTGACAGTAAATCAATATAGAAATCGTGTTTCCGGAGGTTTGAAGAAAGCTTAAAAACTCAAAGGCTCGAAATCGTTTTATCGTTTACATATAAACAATCCCTCTCCCTTCCTCGTTAAGCCCCATATGATTTCCCTATAAAAATAAATGAAGATGGCCACGCTATGCAGATAGCCTGCGAGGTGTGATCGATTGATAAAAGGCCCGCTGAGTGAATTTAAACAAACGGTGCCTTAATTCGGCTGCCTAGCAGAGGAGCGAACGTAAATTTATAAACTGCACGCTACTTGCGACGCGCACCTCGCGCTCGCGAGCAACTTTCGTGCGCGCTCCTTCAGTGATGATCCTTCAGCCTTCGTCGCTCTGTCGCCTCAGCCGCTCTTCGGCTGTCTCGTAAGAGACGCCGTGACAGGACCGCCAAGGCATTCGGGCTCCGACGTCCCGATGCTGACTGCCATTATGAGTGCTGCGAAGGCGATTGCATTGAGCACGAATGAGAAGGGATTGAACGTGGAGAAGAGACGGGAAGCCTAGGATGGGCCTAGGATCGGCCTAGGATCGGCCTAGGATCGGCCTAGGATCGGCCGCCGGGTGTCTTCGGGGTGCCTCCAAGGCCATCTCCGTCAACGTCCACACTGTCATCGTCGTTACTACGAATTACGATACCGATAGATATGGGCTCAGTGAATTCGCTGGCAAGATGAGTCCCGCGGGACCGACGCAAGGGGACTCGAAGATGGAAGTGCGAGTTTCGTGCGTGGCGTCGCCCGGCGCGGAGCCTCAGGGAATTCGTGTCAAGATCCCGCAACCGAAGAGGAGGAAGGAATCGGCGGTGGGTCAGGCGAGTCCTTCCTCGGAGACGCGAGAGACACGCGAGAGGATCAGGGAGATGCGATCCCGGTGTCCCTCGGTACCGGAAAAAGACTTTTTTCGCAAAAGTGCCGCGTCCTTCGAGAAGCGCGAGAGATCCGAGAGGCATCCGACTCTCCCTGGGGCTGAATTTAAGAGAGGACTAGATGCTCTCGTTAACCTCGTGGACTCTGGAAGCGCAACCGACGTTTGCGCTCGAGCAAAGCCTCGACGTAATCCGATGCTCGATCGAAAATACCGCTTTCCAACAATAAGCGGAACCGAGCTCGAGCGAGTCTTCGCCATTGGCAGGTGTCCCCTCGAGGATGGCCTGGACCTCAGTCTGGCACCGTGGCCGGGTATGAAGTGGGCCTGCGTCAGGGTTCTTCATCTCTACTGTAAGGTCTTTGACCAGTTTGAACTTTTCGAGCTGATCGTTAGGTAAATTGCTAAGTCAGAGTTATTGGTTCTCTTAAGAAATCCAAGATGCATGTCTGTTTTATAATATACGTACACTTAAATTTTAACCTTTATTAATTGAGGGGATTTTCCAAGGATACGTTCACGCGAGCAACATTAATATCTATGAGGTTTTAAATTCAATTTATCTGGGATCCCGACGACACCCGAGTGCTCTCACGAGACACGTGGATCGGCGCGCGAAACGTGCTGTCGAAATATCATAATTTAGCCTAATTTAGCGACTGCGAAGGAAAATAATGGTCGCTCGTCCGATGTTAAGATTCTCGGCTTCACTTACAATTAGACTGCAAGACTCCGCATGGCTGCCGAACAGGAATAGAATTCTCTTAAAGGCTGTGATCCACTACGCGGGCTAACCTGAGCCAAGCTGCTATAAAGCTATGGCTCGCTGACTCCACGGTCCCACCCCAGTGGATGGTGAATGGCAGCCTTTAGGCTCGTGACCCGATATATTTGGAGCAACCTTGAGTCTTGATCTTCGTTCGATCTTAGACCGAACATTCGGCAGGATGCGCAAAGCCCCGAGTGAAGTATTAGCGTTAAATTGCATCTCGACTATCAGGGAGACGCCCTCTGCATTGCCCTTTATATTTATACTGCTCGCACGTATACGAGGGAAAAGCTGATGGACGACTGGCTGACTGGCTGACTGGCTGACAGGCTGACAGGCTGACAGTCGCGACTTCCGACTGATCTTCCGACTCTGATCGGTCGACTCTCGTTCTCCAGGAATACGTTCGTAATTATGAGTTTATCGAGGACGCGCGCATGCGATCCCTCGAATGGCAATATAACACGCTTTATTAGAATCCTTGGAGGCGTTCCGGCCTTAATGAAAAGTGCCAAGCAAATATTTAACGTTAAGAGCGGGGCCCTTTGTCGACCCAGTTTCATTGAACACCACGGCCATTTGAACATACGAGCATCCTTACAATGCACACTCCCTTATTGTCCTTATCTCTGATTTCAGAAAAAACTGCACTAGCTGCAAGTGCCCGAGAGAAGCGCACGACGTATGTCACGAGGAATGGGTTTCCGTGAGAGCGAGGCTGGGTTTGAAGGCAGATTCATCCGGGGGCCCCGTTCCGTTCGACCCAAGGGACAGGGGCCTGGTCTGGGCTCCACCGGGACTTCCATCTCATAAGGTCCGAGAATCTCCGTTTGTCGAAAGATGCTCAATGTCAGCACACTCCGTTACTGGTGAAAACCGAGAGCTTGAAAACTTTTCATTAAAAAATATTATGAATTTACAAAATTTACCAAGTCGACAGAGTTTAAGTGAACGTACTCGCGTATACTCGCGTATACGTGAAGCTGAGCATGCATGCCAGTCAATTCGATGTTTCTGACATATATGATATGTATATCTCTATACCTGCGAAACCGAAAGTACTCGTGTGCGAACGTAGGGGTTGGCTTGGTGCCCAACTTCAATATTTTCGAAAAGCTTGTCATAACCAACGGATAACTAACGAGGAAGTAGGAAACTGGTAAGACTGGTAAACCAGGAATATACTAGCAAACTGGGGAAGCCAGCTTGGCCGCCACTATATTATAAACTGTCCATTAAACTTTTACGACTTTATACACCAGTAATCGAGCACCGCGATATATTCATAAGATTGATACTCTGTAATGAAATTTTCCTATAAATACTCAATAGTCAAATTTTATCCGATATTTCGGACGCAGTGGCGAGTGGCTCAACCTCCGATTACTCCTGCGAGATTGGTTGTAGCGGTTAAAGCCAATACCGTTACGACAATTGCATCAATTGCATCAATTACATTGATTCGAAATGACTTTCAGGTAGAAGAGTACTTCTCGATGCTGCCAGAAATCATGGTACCAAGACTAGGAAGCCCCGGTGAACGATATCGAGATCGTCAATTGGCAATCCAGTTGCCGAAGCAGGACCTTGCCAGAGCCTACTGCCGTCACCTCGAGCCCCAACATTCCACGAGCGCCGATGACTTCATGGCGGCGAGGAACGAGATCGCATTGGATATCGGCACCGTCCAGGAGGTCGCGGAGAGACGCCTTGTAAGACACTTCACTTCACTTCACTTCACTTCACTTAACGATTGCATGCTAAATAGTTAAATACTCAGCTACGAAATATCAAACTCCTGGTGCGATAGGTTCGAAGAAGAAAATTCATTGGTCCGAATGCTCCTGTCGACAATCCGTTTCCTCGCGTTACCGGCGGAAGTTCCCTTTGCAAAAACAAATAATCTCTCACACCGTATGGCACACCTTGCTCCGCTACTACAGGAATTTACGATTTGTTTTAGGGAGGGCGCACAGACGGCCATCGGTTCATACATAATTTCAATCGCGATTCCCATTGCTGTCTGGAATCCGATCTGTAATACGTTATGTCGTCCTGTAGTCGAACGCGTAATACCTCCAAATAAGAAAAAGGAGCGTGTTCCCCTAATCCTCGTGAAAATTCGTAATAAACCCGATGAACACGATAAGCGTGAAAAGACATGGTTTACCCATGAATGTCAATATTCGTGTATGTATCTACATCCTGTACATCCTATACATCCTCGGTGCTGCCGCTGTTTGGATAGGGTTGGTTAAACTTAGAAGCCGGCCGGGTTAAGCTTATGTATCGAAGAGGTCACATGTTTACTCGGTGCCAATCGCTCTGGAAGCTTTTAGCGTTGACGCGCCCACAGCATCGTCGTTCAATGTACGATGTACATACATACATACATATCTATATCGACCCACACGCCTTCCACGCATCTCCTCCTCTCTTCTACCTCTCTACCCTTTCTTATAATTTCTCTCTCTCTCTCTCTCTCTCTCGATCTCTATCTCTCTATCTCTCTATCTCTCGATCTCTCTGCTTATCGTGCCCAAAAAATTCTTGTGATATTTACAGGAGTGCGGTGGCTGTCACAACCCTCTTAACTACGGCACACTCGCAGTTTCTGCGAGTAAACTGGGCCTACTCTACCATCCGGCCTGTTTTCAGTGCACACAGTGCAGAGAACTTCTTGTCGACTTGGCTTACTGCGTGCACGACGATGCGCTGTACTGCGAACGACACTACGCCGAACAGCTGAAACCCAGATGCGCTGCCTGCGATGAGGTCAGTGCATCTTGCATCTTGCATCTTGCATCTTGCATCTTGTATCTTGCAGTTTTCCATTACGGTATCCTAATCTGCCAATCCTACGATAAGACAACTTTCTACTGTCCTTTCCAATTTGTTTTTGGAAAAAAGTCATTTTCTGAGAATCTTTCGATCAAAATTTTATGGCTAGAACGAGTCAGCAATCAAAGAGAAGCACATAGGTAGCTTCTTCTTGTATAAGTATCAACGCATCGGGACGATTGCGCCGACTTTCTTAACAATTCAACTGAGGTAATAGACTTTTGTCGCCACGTGGATTTTTGCCGACACTGCACTAGACGTCAAGAAATAATACGTTACGCGAAGGATGTCAGCAGACGATAGCTTAGATTGCGTGCTACTTGAGAAACGTTTCATATTATTATATTTAATTGAAATATGCAATAGTTGTCTTAAATAAGTAATCGTTATCGTTCGTATGAATTTAGTGATTTATAATTTAATAACTGTACAAGATTTCAAGATTGCAAATGCAACAATGTCATATTAACGTATAATAATTAGAAATTCATTTTTATCGTTTTAAAGCATTCGAGTAATAATTTACATATTTAGAAATTTGTTCTTAGTCGTCACTGGATTATAATTATGCAAAAACATTAATGCAAATTACTTAATATTCTTGAGAGTGACTGACTTTTGTTTGACTTGTACGTGGCGATAGAACCTCCTTGAGTAAGACTCGTATTTTGACTGAAGGCATTATGAGCAGCCTTGAACGTCCATAATGGCATTCTTTATCCTTGGACGTTTCTCATGATTCATGGAAGAGGGATATTGCGATTAGTTAAAATTATGAAGTTTTCGTCGGCGTAGAGTAAGTAAAACTGGCAAATTCCGTTTTCAACGAAACAGCGCCTCCGACAATGGGAGGGAGAGGGAGAGAACACATCGCGCCATCTCTTCGGAGAACAGTGAAACTGTTTGACCTGGCGCCTGTCGATTGGCATCCCGAGATACTCACAATCAGTTACAGCTTCGCTATGCTCTTACAATTAGACTAAAAATTAATATAGCTCCGTAAATTCTGGATAATGGCTTCAGAGAGAAATATCAGTTTGTGCAGGCTGTGCTTCATCCTCGCAGCAATCGAATGGTAGCGTTTCGTCCATGATTTTTGGACGTAGTCCCTCGAGTTAACGCTAAAAGTCAACTGCTGCACAGATGGATCAATGAATAAGGTGCGGCGCGACGTATAGAAGCGCAATGCGGTTATACCTCTATAAGATACATATGTATGTATAGCCATAAATGAGACCATTATACGAGAGAGAAGAAGACAATTATTGTTATTTATTTTTTCTTTCTTCTCTTACAGTATGTCAACTAATAGAAAACCTTGCAGGTCATGATGCATAATAGAAATTTCGTTATTGAAAGCCAATACGCGTGTCTTCTTGGTGGTTATTATGGGGATTCAATTGCCCGCGAGAGCTGCAAACATAAAGTTTATTTCACTCGTAATTCAATTATATGTACACAACGGTGTCCCGTCTATGGTATATGTATAACGTTATAGAATAAGATCCTTTGCAAGTCAATTGTCCGTGGAGGCGTAATCTAGTTGATATTTCATGAGACGACGTCTAGTGTTTGTAAAGTTTGTCAAGGCACATTGAAGCCATCTCCCACGTGTACCCTCTATGGGAGATATTTCGTAGAATATTCGAGTTACGTTGCCTTTCGAAGGACAGGAGATCCTTTAAACGGAGAAACGTTGACAATTACAAACTCGTGTGCACGAAACTCAGGAATCACGTAATATCGGCCGATTAATCAGCCGTTACACTTGCAACGAGGTAAGAATACAACCGGCCGTGGAAACGTTTGCACGCGGAACCACTAATGCCAACCTTACCCGGGCAGCCCAGGGGGCCGGCTGCACAACCGCAGAGAAAGAAGAGCGACGGCCGCGGCGACGATACATGCACCGAATAACTTGGGCTACAATTTAGAAATAGCCCGTAGGGCTTTTGCAATGGGAGAAATAATGGCGAGAAATGTAGATCGAAAGAATCGTGGATTTGCAGATCGCGCCAAACTGGATTGAATGAAATTTATCAAACGAGGTGGACAAATGCAGGATTCAGGGATTATATGCAGTACGTATACAGGGTAGAAGGAAATTTCGTGTTGCGGCGCTTTAATTGTTAATGTATAAAGCAATGCGCGCTTCTCCGTAGTCGATGGGGGCTGGGGGGG